ATCCCCACATTCCTTTCCAGCCTTAATATTTGTCTCTTAGATCCCAAACCCTTGCCATGCGGTGCTATTCGTTTGGGAGGATCAGACAACAGCATGCTGTTTCACACAAATGGTTCTCTTTACCTGGGATGCCTTCAACTTCCACACCCACCTGGTGGATACCAACTTACTCTTTAAGACTTGGGTCAACCAGGCGTGGTGGCTCATGCCTGCAATGCCAGCACTTTGGGAGGCTGAGGCAGGCAGATCACCTGAGGTCAGGAGTTTGAGACCAGCCTGGCCAATGTGGAGAAACCCCATCTCTACTAAAAATACAAAAATTAGACAGGGTGGAGGCTCATGCATCTGTAATCCCAGCTCCTCTCGAGGCTGAGGCAGGGGAATCACTTAAACCTGGGAGGTGGAGGATGCAGTGAGCCGAGATTACACCACTGCACTCCAGCCTAGGTGACAGAGCCAGATTCTGTCTCCAAAAAAAAAGGTGCAGTGGCTCTGCCTCTTCATGCCTGAGATCAGGCTGGGGTACCTGGTACAGCAAACTGTAGGCACAGGAATCGGGGAAGGGAGTCTAGAGACTCCAAAGGATTCTGCCTCCTTGATTGTAAAACAGAGACAGAAACATCTCAGCAGCTGCAGGGAAACCTGTTTAGAAACATGCTTCCTGATCATTTATTTTGAGCTGACACTGCATGCTGGGGTGCCCACAGCACCCCTCGTCCCCAAACTTACTTCCCTAAATGCTGAAAACACGTACAAAGCGTTTAACATTTTTCAAGTGCTCTGAGCCACGCATGAAAACCATCAGCAAACACTGGCTTGGAACTCACCCGTGTGGCATCTACAGGTTTTTTTTCCATGTGAAACCAAATGGACAAAGGTTTGTTTTAAACAATCCAAACTTATATCCTGCTTTAAATTCATGCTGTGGGACTTAACCAAAACTGAATTCTTGAATTCTTCACCCACCCCTTCGTTGCAAAAATACTATTTATTTTTCCTGCAAATGGACCATCTACAAGGGTAAAACAAACGTATTTCTCTTGAGATCTGTGTATGCAGCATTTTGTCTTTTTTTTTCCTGGTCAAACTTCCAAAAGCCAAACATGTCACGGAGTGACTGATACCGCCCTTGCCGGGAAAAACCTTTATCTCTCATCAAGCAGAAACCGGGAGATCTGGACTCTATACCCAGTTTTGCCATGACGTAGGTGGGGCGATTTTGGGGATACCACCCATCTCTCTGCTGCTGGTTTGTGTTCCAAAAACTGGTGGGGTGGGGTTGGCCGAGAGAGAGGAATGGGTCTGAAACCCATCCAATCCTAAAATCCTATGACTTCAGATCAAAACATGGGTAAACAATGGCAAAATTTTTGTCCTGAAAAATATTTTGACGTGGACTCAGATGGGTCCTGAGGAGCCTTCTGTGGAATTCCCTCCCCCAGGGAAAACCGCCAGCTTCCCCTTCCCGAGTGAGGGGTGACTGTCGTGTTTTCTCACCAGTCCCATCACGCAGTCACACCCCCATCTGCTGAAAGCTCAGGTCTTTGCTGCTGATGGCACTGGCTTGGGAGGTGTCTGGGTTTAAAGGCCTCGGGGTTACCAAAGGCCACCCTGGTTGGCAGCTCTTCCTGCACAACGCCAGCTTGTGGAGGAGGGTGGCTCTCGGGTGCTGCAAACTCTTTTTCCCAGCCCGCAGATCCTCTGGTGGAGCTGCCCAGGGCACAGGGAGTGACCAAGAAACCCTCAGACACGGGTACCACGTCAGTCAGAATTTCCGCACTTTTCTGAAAGCTGAGCCTCAGCTCTCCCGGCAAAGCCCCCGTCTCAGGGATGTGGTTAACGCCTCTGGGACTGGAATTCCCTGGACACATAAGCGGGGGGCTGAATACGGCTTGGTGTTGGTGTGGTCAGAGCAAGCCGGTGGGTGGAGGCCGTGGGAAGACACCCCACACCAGGACAGGCAGACTCGCGATGACTGTTCCCCTTCAGCCCAAGGTCCTTCAATCTACATCTGGAGCTACCAGTGAAAGAGAAGACTGCTTAGGGTTTTAAGGCACCTGGCCCTACGGCCCAAGACCAGGGGCCAAGTCCCAGGGTCAGGAAGTCAGGGGCCAGGGGTCTCATTCAGCCTCAGCCTGGCCTAAGGACATGACAAGTCCATCCTCCTCTCTGGGCCTCTAAAACTGGGAAGATGGAGGCTGGCCTGCCAGTTTCTTTGTTCTGCGATTCCTCTGGTTCTCCCAGGGTCCACCTCGTGTTGTATAGAGCTTTCTGCCCATGGAGCTGCCTCTGCTCAGCCCCTTCACCTCCCAGTTTCACTGCCCATGGAGACCACTGGGGGTGGGGGTCTTGCCAGGGAGCAGGAAAGAAAAGCTTAGTGCTTTGTGCAAGCATAGGCTCTGGGTTCTGTCTGAGTTCTGGGCTGCAGGGAGGGTGTAGCCTCTTCAGAGCAGGAAAGAAAGCCTCAGTCCCTCGGGGCGGCCGTCCAGAGCTGACATCACCTCCTGCCGTGCAGTCAAGAGGCTCCAGAGCCAAGTGGATGGGTGGCTCTGGAGCCTCTTGACTACACGGCAGGAGGTGATGCACCCATCCCCAGGGACCCCCGCACCCCTGTGGCTCTGGCTTCTACCTCCCTGCACCATGCTCCAGCCTCAGGACCCAGTCCTAGTGCAGAGCCCACCAGCCCGGCCCACAGGGGCAAGGAGAATAGAGACCACACGTCCTCTGCAGCACAGAGACGCCCTGCTGGCTGGACCTCCTCACTGTTCCCTCAAGTCTGCTGAAAGAACAGCCACCAGGGAATTCCTGACAAGAGCCCCACTGGCGTGCGGGCAGTGTTTCTGATCTCAAAGGCCATCCTTCCACACAGTTCCTCCCTTCCTGCCCACCCCCATCAGGCATTGTTTATTTCTCAGAACGAAGTGCCACGATCCTTCTCAGCTACCTTGGCAGCCTTGATAGAAACCAGTCAACAAACAGAGCAGGGAAAAACAGCCCCCCAAAGATGACATTCAGGACCCAGCCCTTTAGACCAAAGGATCGGATCAGGTGTGCCAGACGGCCCCATCCAGTCAGACATACACAGACGAGCCCTGGAAAGGGACTCTAGAGAAAGCCAGAAGTACTGTGAGGCTCACAGACAGCCCCCTGGACTGTAGTGTTTCAGGCGAGGTGGGCGTGGTAGGTCTGGGGTCAGCCTGGGAACTTGCTTGTTTTCCCCGGGGAAGTCCGTCACTTTCGAGGACAAGGTGCCGTCACCCACATTGCTCCTATTTGATCCCTAATCGTGCCCCAGGGAGGGGAGGGCAGACAGGAAGCAGGGGCGAGTTTAGTGTTGGGGGGCCTTGGGGAGGCCTCATCAGAAGTGAGGTCTCCTTGCAGTCCTGCACGGCTGGTAGGAAAGTGTCATTTGAAGGACCTACTCTGCCTCACCACCCTCAATGTGCTTGGTTTCATCTGAAGGACTTGCTGAGACCAAGGAATCATGAAAATAGTGTACTGTTCAGCTGGAGTTTACATCTTGGCTGAGATAAGCGACTGAAGAGAAGGCAGCTGAAGCATCTGACGTGTAGTGATGATGGCCGAGAATACAATGATCTGGAGGGTTAGGCAGGCACCAAGAAGTGAGCCGAAGTTGCATCACAGAGGAATGTTAGATGGTGTGGGAAGATCAATGAATGAGTAGTTAATCATTTTGATTATCGATCGTGTTTTGCGGGTATTGGCCACTAGTGTGTGTGTAGTTGAAGTACCACGATGATTTTTCACATCATTAGTCATGGTTATAGTCCATGTGGGAATAATGGCATGTACATTTTTTATTAAGTGTGTCTTTTGGTGATGGGGTTTGTAGGTTTCTCTCTGAAACCTTCTCCTGTTTATGGAGGGCTAGAGCTAATTATTAGCGGTGGTCAGATGTGGCGCTGGGTTAAATTTTGGCGGGGTTGATAGTCTTTCTTATTTGGGTGGCATGAGACCCCTATCTGTGTCCAGCTTGTGACTCTGCAGTGGCCCCTGTCCCTGAGTGTCCAGGGAGGCTATAACACAGGGACTCTTTCCCCAGGCCTGTCCTCCTAGAGCCAAGACTGGAGCCCAGATGCCACAGGCAGCAATATTCCACTTGCACCCTCACACCGGACAGAACCAACTCATACCACACACTGGGGTTGGGATTTTTACTTTTGCTCTTTTTAAAACTTGGCTAAGACACTCTGTTCATTATTTCTCTGGCAAGTCTCCAAGATTCTACACGTAACCCTCTTGGGTGAAAATAAACCCTGGAAGAGTGGCACAATGAAATAAGCCGGTTCCCTTGTCAACATTGGAGCAGGGACCACATCAGAAAGACGCCCACTCCTAACTGGGTGGTCTGCCGGATAGTGAGCTCTCCAGCATCACTCCTCCATCAGCGGCAGATGGGGAAAATGAAGGCGATGCCACTTTGTCTCTGCACCTTTCCCCATGTAGCACTAAGGGAGGGGAGGACTTTCACAAGGTCAGTAGCTGAATTTGTGTAAGCACCTCCGATGATTTTAGAAAGCATGTCTGAGTGGGCACATGACACAGAATAATAATCACGAACAGGTACTGAGTCCTCACCAGGTGTCCAGCACGATCATAAACACATTACACGGATTAACTCATTCAATTCTCACAATGGCCCTACGAGGTAAGGACTCTTGTTATCCCCATTTTATAGATGAGAACACTGAGGCACAGAGATTATACCCAGCTGGGCTAGTGACTGGCCAGGGACAGCTTCCAGATCCATGCACACAACTTCCAGGTTATGGCACCTCTAGAAACGTGGCCAGTGCCCCTGGGGTCTATCAGCATCTCTTGCTAGACTGGCAGAGCCCTAAAAAAGTAGGGAGACTCCTTTGACACTTGAGCCCCAGCCATGGCTCCAGCCTCTGAACCTCCAGACTTATGGGGCTGCTCAGGGGACAGCTAGCCCTGTGCCAACACTGTATCCCACGACCCTAGCAGAATGTCCTTACTGGCATCTCCGGCTCTGTCTCCTTTCTCTCCTTTCTCTCCCTTTGGGCCTCGGTCACCTAAAACAGAGGAGGAAAACTGGCATTAGAAATGGAAACGAATCCTAATTGCGATTAAAATATTACCTGCAGGGGACTGATGAACTTGAGACCAGAGAAACCCTCAGGTGGGAACAGGAGCAGCTGGAGGGTATAGCAGGCAGGAGAAGAGGGCAGCCACCTCTGCCATCTGCCCTGGACACTCCGAGAAGGAGGAGGCACCGATGAGAAAATCCCACCCCTTCATAAAGAACCAAAGAGCAGCCTCTACCAGCATAGCCTGAAGAGCACATGGCAGTTTGCAGGAAGCAGACAAGCCAAAGATAACCCTACTAAACACTCCAGGTTTTAGACGTTCATATTCAAGTTTGTTCTGGGTTTTGTTTTTCTTTCTTTTTTGAGATGGAGTTTTGCTCTTGTTGCCCAGACTGGAACACAGTGGTGTGATCTTGGCTCACTGCAACCTCTGCCTCCTGGGTTCAAGTGATTCTCCTGCCTCAGCCTCCTGAGTAGGTGGGACTACAGGCATGCGCCACCGTGCCCGGCTAATTTTTGTATTTTTAGTTGAGACAGGGTTTCTCTACGTTGGTCAGGCTGGTCTCGAACTCCCAACCTCAGGTGATCTGCCTGCGTTGGCCTCCCAAAGTGCTGGGATTACAGGTGTGAGCCACCATGCCAGCCTCCAAGTTTGTTCTAATGAGACCAGGGGAAAACAAGGGAAAGGGGGCTTTAGTTAAATAGGGAGAGAGGTGGGTTCTGTGTTGATCAGGTTTTCCTGTGGGAGAGACCATAAAACATGAATGTGAGATACCTGGGAATTGTGGTATTTCCTTCCCAGGATATACCTAAAGGAAAAGACCTCTTTGGCCAGCTGGCCTCTCTCTCTACAAAGAAGTTGAAAATCCTAGCACCACTCACTGGGCATTAAAATGACAAGGGACTTCTATTCCAAGGACCTCCAGAAAGACATCTGCAAATCAAAAACCCATGGCATGCTGTTTGGTGAAAAAAGCAAGCCAACAAATTCCAGGGGAGAATGTCCAGGATGATGCAAGATTAAAAAAAAAAAAAGGCAGCCATATATAGGAATGAGCTCAGAAAAAGATCTGGAAGGATATGCTCCAAAGTGTTGATGGTAGTTATTCTAAAGAATAAGAACTAGGGGAACTGAGAGGTGGAGACTTTTTGCTTTATGCATTTCTGTGTTATCTAATTTGTGTTTCTCTTTCTCTCTCTCTCTCTCTCTCTCTCTCTCTCCCCCTCCCTCCCTCCCTCTTTCTTTTTGAGGCAGGGTCTCACTCTGTCACCCAGGCCCAGGGCTGGAGTACAATGGTGCAGTATTGGCTCACTGCAGTCTCCACTTCCCAGGTTCAAGCAATTCTTCTGCTTCAGCTTCCCAACTAGCTGGGATCACAGGTGTGCACAACCATGCCTGGCTAATTTTTGGTAGAGGTAGGGTTTTGCCATATTGGCTAGGCTGGTCTCAAACTCCTGGCCTCCAGAGATCTGCTCTCCTTGGCCTTCCAAAGTGCTGGGATTACAGGAATGAGCCACCTTGCCTAGTCTCTAATTTTATTTTCAACAAACATGTGCTGCTTTTACAACTTGTCTTAAAATCAACTTTTTAAAATGGGATCATAAAAGAAAGGAAAACCTCAGCCTGTTTCATCACTGGCCAGAAAGTAAAATAGAATTTCTCAGTGATCCAAGATCAAGGGATCATCCCAGACACAGGGTGGGAGTGATTAGCAGGACTTTTTTCTTAGTTTTCATTTTAACAAGTGAGGAGTAGAAAGCCTGGAGACAGGGCATCAGGTGTCCTCCGTCTTCCACAGCGGTGCTGGGAGGTTTGGACAATCTTGAAGTGAGCATGAAAAAGCAGACGGACTATAAAGTAGGTTTTCCTACAAATGAACAAGAGGACTACCTACAGGAAGAAGGCAGGTCGGAAGGGATGTTTTTTGGCACTGAAAATTGAGAATCGAATTAAAGTTGTAAATGCTGGGGAATAAGAGTATTTAGAGGGTCAGACGTCTGGCAGGACTGGGGAGGAGGGTTGTCCTGGGCCTGCAGCCTTGGTGTCTGCCCCGCAGGCCACCCTGCTGGCTTTCTCTGGTTAATCTCTGAGCTACAACCTACCGAACTCTTCCTTGCATTTCTACGACGACTTGAGCATTTACACACACATGGTCACTCAGTCCTCCTAACAGCCCTGTGAAATACAGCATCATGAGGGTTTTGAGATTTGTGTGTGTGTGTGTGTGTTTTGTTTTGTTTCACAGATGAGTTCTTGCTCTGTCACCCAGGCTGGAGTGCAGTGGCACAATCAGAGCTCGCCACAGCCTCCAACTCCTGGACTCAAGAGATCAGCCTCCCAAGTAGCTGGGACCGCAGGTACACGCCATCACACTGGGCTGGGACCGCGGGCACACGCCATCACACTGGGCTGGGACTGCGGGCACACGCCATCACACTGGGCTGGGACTGCAGGCACATGCCATCACACTGGGCTGCGACTGCGAGCACACGCCATCACACTGGGCTGGGACTGCTGGTACACGCCATCACACTGGGCTGGGACTGCTGGTACACGCCATCACACTGTGCTAATTATTTTATTTTTTTTGTCAAGATGGGGTCTTGCTGTGTCACCCAGGCTGATCTCAAACTCTTGGGCTCAAGCAATCCTCCTGCCTGGGCCTCTCAAAATGCTGGGACTATAGGCATGAGTCACCACGCCTGGCTGAGGGTTTCTAGTTTTTAGAGGAAAAACTAAAGTATTTAACAAGACGAAGTGACTTGCACAAGGCTGCCCTTCTGGTCCACGCACTGTGATGAGAGTCCTGGTCCCCCACACCAATGCCCACATGCTGCCTGGGGCTGGCAGTGAGGCTCAGGGAAAACCAAGATTGTTATTACCTTTGAACCCACGCATGCCCATTGGTCCTGTGGCCCCCAGCTTCCCATCGTCACCTTTGGGCCCGGGCAATCCTGGGGTACCTCTCTCCCCGGGCAGACCTGGGTAGAAAACAGACAAATGGCAGAGCCTCAGATGCAGAACAGGAAGGGCCCTCAGAGGTCATCATTAGGTTCAAGGCTCAGCCTTCCCACACATCCCCTCTTAGCCTCTGTGTCTGTTTTTTTCTGTTAATCTAAAGATGCCGCCAAAGTGGAGTCAAACAGGTCCACACGGACGCTCCTCATGCGCACCCTGTATCCGTCAGGCTCGGGATCCTCCTGCTAGAAAGATCCAGTGCTGTTGTGAGTGTTGGGAGGGTGCCCATCCCTTTGGAGGGTATCCCTTTGCCCCTGGGTATGCTGGAGATTTAGAAGCAGCAAACTCTGATTTGTTTTTTTTTGTTTTTGAGACAAACTCTCACATTGTCACCCAGGCTGGAGTATAGTGGTGTGATCTCGGCTCACTGCAACCTCTGCCTCCCAGGTTGAAGCAATCCTCCCATCTTACCCTCGAGTAGCTGGGATTACAGGTGCCCACCACCACACCTGGCTAATATTTGTATTTTTAGTAGAGACAGGGTTTCACCATGTTGGCCAGGCTGGTCTCAAACTCCTGACCTAAGTGATCTGCCTACCTCGGCCTCCCAAAGTGTTGGAATTACAGGCGTGAGCCACCGTGCCTGGCCTAGAATCAGCAAACACTTTTTTGAGTGCTTTCTATGTGCCAGACCCTGCTCTGGATGCTTTTCATGAAGTATCTAATTTAATCATCACAACACACCAGGAGGAATTATTCTGCCTGTGTTATGAATGAGGACATAGGAGCTCAGAGAGATTCAGTGAACTGCCCAAGGTCACACAGCAGTGGTGGAGGCAGAATCTGAGCCCTGCTCTTGCTGAAATGGACGGTAAGCCTCACTTTATGCTGGATCAACAAGGCTTACTGGGGACAGGGGTAGGAGGAAGATGAAATCGTTTCTCATTTAAGAAAAAAGAAATCCTTTCCCTTGTATAAATACAGGGAGGTATAGCAAAAGGGATTGGAGGCAGGGTCAATAAACGGACGGCCTGCTGCCGATCAAGTCCCCAGGCTCCTGGCCACAAGGCCCCTTGGTCACCGCCTGTGGTGACAGCGCCACGCAGAGCCAGCATAAACAAGTGCTTGAGTGAGTGAGAGCCCTGGTCCCCATGAGGCCTGGCCTCAGCGCAGTTATCTCTGCAAAGCAGAGCACCCTTAATTAACTGACTAATTGTTCTTTCCTGCTTGGAATGTGAGTTGGTTTGCTTTGGGCTTTTTCTGGGACTTGGAGAAATCTGTCTCCCAGTAATGAATGATTCTCTAGTCCTAAGGTCCAGTGGCTGGAAGGAGACATGTTTCTGGGAGAGGGCTGATTGGGTTTTCTCTTTCCTCCTAACACAACGTATCTGTTCCCAGAGTCCAGTGGCTCCACCACCACAGAATTCCTGATCTAGCATAAGCTGGGCCCCAGGCTCCCCATCTTATGATTCTTTAGGGCAGAAAATGTGGTTCCAGACCCCCATGAGCCCCTGAGCAGCCTCAGTGCTGACTTGAGGGTGGTCCCCTGAGAGGGCAGGGCCAGGAGTGGAGGCTGGGCTGGGAGGTCTCCTTCCTCCACACACTGTCTCCTCGCCTGTGTTTGCAACATCCTAGAGATTTGGGAAGCAGATGGTTTGGAGGCATAATTCCTAAAATAAATAACCAGACACCTTTCTCCCTCTATTTCCTTTTCTTCCTTCACTTAGAAGACCACACTCTCCCAGCAAAACGTTGCATGCAGCACAGGCTCAGGAACGGACAGACTGGCAGGCAAGATAGGACGGGGGAACCCAACAGGAGCTTGGGAGACAGTGAGTCTCGGAAGAACCTTGTCTTTCTAGAAGGCCCAAAGCACCCTCCCCACCAGCCACTGACTCTTCAGGGCTGTCGATATGAGCAGCAGGATGGGGAGGGGAGGGGTCAAAAGGGGAAGAGACAGGTATTCATGACCCATTCGTAGAGCTGGGCAGGGTCAGGAGTCACGGTGGGCAGGGGAGGGCGACAGGTGGCTGGTGATCAGGAAATGCAGATGGGACAGCACCTTTGAAGGGTTGGTCTGGATCTCAAAACATCTCCAACTCCTTCTGCAGGTCCTGCTCACACAGACCCTGGCTCCTGGGCTGGGAAGGGGCTTCAGGGAGCTGCAGGCCTGTCATGTACCTTTTCCTTCAGACTGTGGCACTTCCTAATAAACAGTGTGTGCTGCACCCCACTGTGACACCAGCAATCTCTTAGTCTCTTGCTGGAACCGAGCACTTGAGGCAGAGCTGATTGGGCGCTCCCCTGGGGAGCCAAGTCATTTATAACATTGAGAAGGCAGGGGTCAGAGATGGAGTGGGGGTCTCTCCCAGGCCCCTCCCAGGGGCACACCCATTACCTCGAAGTCCGGGCAATCCAGGGATACCAGGCCTGCCTTCCCTTCCTTCATCCCCCTGATCACCTTTGGGTCCTGGTGGCCCTGGAAAGGCAAAAACAGCACCAAGGTTAGAGGACTGCCTTCTGGGGCAGGACCAGGTCAACTGCAGAGGAAACAAAACGCCCTCTCTGAGGAGAGGAAGGGCAGCATTAGCTCTGGAAACTCACAGGGAACCTCCAGCCCAGTCTCAGGGGCATCAGGAAAGGCTTCCTGGAAGAAGTCATATCCAAAGTGAAATCTCAAAGCGAAATCGGAGTTAGCTGAGTAAACAGAGGGGTGGGTGAGTGTGCTGTGGACTGAATATGTGTGGCCCCTCCCAAAACCATATGTGGAATCCCTAATACCCAATGTCATAGCTTTAGGAGGTGGGGTCTTTGGCAGGTGATTAGGTTTTGATGAAGTCATAGGGGTGAGCCCATATGTTGGGATTAGTAGTTTTATAAGAAAAAACACCAGTTAATTCATTTTCTCTCTCTCTCTCTCTCTCTCTCTCAAGGACACAGCAAGAAGGCAGCAGTCTGCACACCAGGAGGAGAGTCCTCACCAGAACCTGACCCTGCCACACCCTGATCCTGGACTTTCAGCCTCCGGATCTGTGCCCAGTAAATGCCTGTTGTTGAAGCAGCTCAGTCCACTGTATTTTGTGGTGGCAGCCTGGGCTGAGTAAGAGTAAAAAGGGACAGTTCCAGGTGGAGGGAACAATCCCTACAAAGGCTGAAAGTCAATAGAGAGATGTAAGCCCTGGCGGGGTAAGAGGCGGGGGGCACACTGTGGAGAGAAAGCGGGGCTCTTAGAGACCCAGCACCTCCTGAGGGCACCAGAGGCCACAGAGGGGCCTGAGAGAAGAGCCCAATCAGAGCTACACACGAGGAAGATGGCTCAGGCTGCAATGTGGAAAATGGGCTGGAACAGGAGGGAGGCCGAGGCAGAGCCTTCAGTCCAGCCAGGTGGGAGGTGAGAGCCCTGGACAAGGGTGGAGCCATCAGAGGGATGTCGGGGACACATACAAAAGTTGCTTAAAAGTAGAAGAGACTGACTTTGGTGTAGTTGGGGAGGAAGAGGCCAGCGTCGTGTTCAGATGTCTGACTTCCGTGCTTGGTTGGACGAAGGGTTTCTAACCTCTCCTGAGAGGGCTGCCCTCCAGGATGGGGCTCCTGCGCAGCAGGGATTCTGAGATATGGGATTGGATCCAGTCCCCACGACAATGCCAGGTGCTGCAGTTACACATTTGGACCACACAGCTTTGGGTGCCACAGTGACTGTGTTCTGTCCACGCTGCAACGCCCACAGGGCTAGATGTCTCACCAGTGGCAGGAACTTCTTGCCGCCATTGCTGCACCTGCTGTCCCCAGGCCAGTCAGCCCCTGAGCACCCCTTGCCGACCTCCTCCAGTCACTACCAGCTCTCAGGTGGCCCACTGCCCTTTCCTCTAAAAACCCTCTCTGACTCATCACCCATGCTGAAAGTTGGCATGAGCTGCTTCAATGTGCGCACTTGGAGCCATTTGACCAGTAATCTCACCCTGCCTTGTCCTGTTGCCACAGTGACTGTGTTCTGTCTTTCCTAAAGGAATTGCCAGCTCCCTAAACAGGGCCACACCCTTCACATCCCTGTACATACTGTGAAGACACAGACTGCAAGCTCTCACCTCCTGCTGCTTTTCAAGAGAAAACGAGGACTGTGAAGCCGGGTGTGGCAGCGCATGCCTGTAATCCAGCACTTTGGGAGGTTGAGTCAGGTGGATCACCTGAGGTCAGGAGTTTGAGGCCAGGCTGGCCAACGTGGTGAAACCGCATCTCTATTAAAAATATAAAAATCAGCCGGGTGCGGTAGCTCACGCCTGTAATCCCAGCACTTTGGGAGGCCAAGGCGGGTGGATCACGAGGTCAAGAGATCGAGACCATCCTGGTCAACATGGTAAAACCCCATCTCTACTAAAAATACAAAAAAATTAGCTGGGCACAGTGGCGCGTGCCTGTAATCCCAGCTACTCAAAAGGCTGAGGTAGGAGAATTGCCTGAACCCAGGAGGCGGAGGTTGCAGTGAGCCGAGATCGCGCCATTGCACTGCAGCCTGGGTAACAAGAGCGAAACTCCGTCTCAAAAAAAGAAAATGAAACAAAACAAAAATCATCCAGGTGTAGTGGCGGGCACCTGCAATCCCAGCTACTCCAGAGGCTGAGCAGGAGAATCTCTTCAACCCGGGAGGCGGAGGCTGCAGTGAGCTGAGATTGCATCATTGCACTTTGCCTGGGCGACAAGAGTGAAACTTTGTCTCCAAAGAAAAAAAAAAATGAGGAGTACCATGGAAAATGGCCTTTATAACTTTATAATGTCTCTATCCCCTGTTTACCAGGAACCTCAGAATATGACTTTATTTGGAAATAGGCTCTTTGCAGACATGATGAGTGAAGATGAGGTTACCCTGGAGTAGGGCAGGCCTCAGGCCAATGGCTGGTGTCCTCATGAGAAGAGAAAATAGAGATATGAGAGCATCATGTGGCCACGGAGGTGGCAATGGGAGTGACACATTCCCAAGCCAAGAAACACCAAGGACTAGCCGGCAAGCACCAGCAGCTAGGAAGGGCCAAGGAAGGGTCCCCCTGAGCTTTCAGAGGGAACATGGCCCTGTGGACACCCGGATTTCAGACTTGGAGCCTCCAGAACTGTAAGAAAATAAGCTTCTGTGGAACCGCCGAGTTTATGATGCTTTGTTATGGCAGCCCCAGGAAACCAAACCACACAGACTCACAGCCCGGCAGTAACGTCCTGCACAATAAATATTTGATGAATGAATGAGTATATGAGATCAGAAGGTGTTCACAATACATACAAAACAACCAGCCAGCCAAGGTCGAGATGTACCGATACCTTCCTCACGCTGGCGCTGTCCTCAGACCCTAACCAAACTTGACGGCTATTTAGGAATTCCATGGCACGCAGGCAGGGAAAAAAGTAGTCAACAATTCAATTCACAGGGCGTACAAATCATGTAAGGACTACGTTTTGTGATCCCAGTTTTCAGACCACAGGATTGAGTCAGAGAACCTGTTGGGAACAGACCAAAGATGGCACAGAAACGACGGGTGGAGTCAGGAAGCAAATGGGCTCCAGAACCGCTTCCCACACGTCTCCCGTTAAGGCCAAGGCTGCAGCAAAGGGAACCAGGAGAGGGTGCCTGGATCTCTCCTGCTGGGCTGAAGGCCCACTCCTTTCTCTCTTCCCTGCCTCCACCACCCCACCCCGCTGGGAACCCAGGTGCTCCAGGAACCGAGCTGGTCACAGATGAAAGGAGTGTAATTCCCTGACTGTGAGGTGTGCTGACAATTTCACCTGTCCCTCAGGTGCAGGGGCAACCTGCATGGGGGGAGGGTCTTCCCAGGAGCCAGTCTCGCCAAGGGAGGATGCTACCCAAAGACCCTGATGTGGGGTCTCTGGGTGGTACACATCATCTGGAAGGTGGGTTTTGAGCGTGGATATCGAGTCGGGTTCGAGTCCTGATTCTATTAAATGAAGGTAAAAAAATTCCTTTCTCATATAGTTGTAGTGAGGACTGAGTGGATTCAGGGGCATGATGACTAGAGAAGGGCTTTGCAGTCTTGAGTAGTGGCAGGACATCCTCAGCACCTCACTTTGCATAATGCCTCCTCAGAACCTTTATAGGATGACAACTTCTGGATATTCCCGGCTCACCTGAAATCACCCTGTGGAACTTGGCTGGGTCATCCAGGGAGAGGCAGGTGTCAAGAACATGCTACCGATGGACATATATATATATATGTGGAATCTAGCTCCGTTTCCCAGGCTGGAGTGCAGTGGCACGATCTTGGATCACTGCAACCCCCACCTCTCAGGTTCAAGCGATTCTCCTGCCTCAGCCTCCTGAGTAGCTGGGACTATGGGTGCCACCACCACACCCAGCTAATTTTGTATTTTTAGTAGAGATGGGGTTTTGGCATGCTGGCCAAGCTGGTCTCGAACTCCTGACCTCGTGAGCCGCCCACCTTGGCCTTCCAAAGTGCTGGGATTATAGGCATGAGCCACTGCGCCTGGCCTATTTTTTTAAATAGAACTATGTGGTTAGTGAGGGCCTTTACTAGAGATGAACTGGAAAGGTGAGGTGGACAGTAAAGGTGGGCGCCCATCCCCAAGCCTTCATCACATCCTCAGGTGGTACTGGCCTGGCCGACTCAGAAGGGCTGATGATTTGGATAGAGCTTTGAGGGACCAAGCCGCCAGGTGCTCCGAGGACCATGTGTGCCTTTAAATCACTGCTGCTGCCCGTAGGTGAAGCAATCTCAGGATGTGACTTTTTAGTGTTTTTACTGACGCTATCCTTTTTATCAGAAACCCAGGTTGGAAATCCCGAGCCTGCTTGGATTCCTCTTTCCTGTCCTCCTTTTGTGTCCCTTTCCAGCCACACCCATCTGTAAGTCAAGGGTTCTCATAAAGGAGGGTCCTTCTGATGAGTCCACCTCCTTCCTCACTGCCTCCACCCTCGTGGGGTCCTTACGGCCTGGCTCCAGCCTTTATAAGAACCACCCTGTCTCTGTTTCCAGCCCATGTGTGCCTTGCTGTCTGATCAGTCTCTCTGAAATAACAAAGCAACCATAGGGACTCAGAGTACGGGGGGGTCCCCTGACTGCACCACAGGCGCAGCTTCCCCTGTCAAGGCCCCTGCAGATCACTCACGATCTGACCCCTTCTGCTGCAAACTCACAGCTCAATGCTCACAGTCACCAACTTTCCTCCACCTCTGCACAAATGCTCTCCTCATGGTGTCCCTGAACATTAGCCAGATCCTAAGACTCCAGCTCCTCTTAGTCCTGAGGCTGCCTTCATGCCCACTGATCTGGTTTGGCTGTGTCCCCACCCAAATTTCATCTTGAATTGTAGCTCCCATAATTCCCACATGTTGTGAGAGGAACTCAGCAGGACGTAATTGAATCATGGGGGTGGGTTTTCCCTGTATTGTTCTCATGATAGTAAGTCTCACGAGATCTGATGGTTTTATAAGGGGAGTTCCCCTGCACACACTCTCTT